CTGCACCGGCCTCCTAGAAAAGAATTTGGCCGACGTTCTCCATGTTGCCGGTGGGAGACAAACTACGGCCGTCGTCATCGCCCGTCGTCCCCAACCTCTTCCGGCCGGCCGTTCGGTGACACAGGGCGCCCTCCACCACCACCGACCCCAAAACCTTGCTTTGCTGCCTGCAAGGGGAGCAGGACGTGCACTATCCGTCCGCTTTCCGACCACGACCGCGAGGGGGTCGACAGATTGCTCACAAGGTACAATGGACAATGGTGATGAGTTTTTCTTTCACAATTTCATTTGGTCAGTGGATGATTCATCCTCGGATGATGAAGAGCTGGCAACTGCGTTGGTCGTACATGAACACATCACTAGGAAGCGGCCTCGGTACAGGGGATCAATCCCCGGCCATGCTCCGGTCTTGGACCACAATAGAGAGAAAGGTCACACCCTTATGCTGATTACTTTAAGGATGGTCCACTCTTTAGGCCACATCAATTTCGTCACCGATTCTGAATGAGAAGGCATGTGTTCAATCGTATTCGCGAGGGAGTGGTCGCGCATGACCCATACTTTGAGTGCAAAGTGGATGCCCTAGGCAAGCTTGGTTTCTCTTTGTAAGTGCATCTAGTGCCACCCCTAGTTGGTTTTGGAGTACTGACCACAAACATGATTGAGGGACTAATGTGTTCGTGAGAATTGCAGGATAACACAGGTTATAGTCCCTCATTGATTCGGTTTACCTACCAGAGATGGCCCCTAAAAATGTATGAAGACATTGAAGACAATGGTGGTTCGTCAAGACATTCACGTTGAAGATAATGACGATGAAGACATTCACTTTAAGACTATGGAGTGCGAAGACATAGTTTCTTTCGTAGTTTCCTTTTCTTCTTTCTTGAGTCATAGGAACCACCGTACTGTTAAGTGGGGTCCAAGTGAACAAAGTCAGATGACTGAAGTGATGCTCAACTAAAATCCTATGTCTTCGAGTGAAGACAGTGAGAGCAAATCTTAACCAGAGTTGGATGAGTCAGCTTTGCTTGTAGCCCAAGCCAAGCTTCCGCGTGTGTTTCAAATCCGACCGTTGGACACGTGTCGGTTCCTTAGTGACCCTGGCTATAAATAGCTGCTACCTCTTGAGCTTGCGTTGGTTTTTCCCTTGAAGAGGAAATTATGATGCAGCAAAGTAGAGTAAGTATTTCCCTCAGTTTGAGAACCAAGGTATCAATCCAGTAGGAGATAACACACAAGTCACCGAATACCTGCACAAACAATCAACAAACTTGCACCCAACGCGATAAAGGGGTTATCAATCCCATCATGGTTACTTGCAATAGCGAGATCGACTAGAGATAGATAAATGGTAAAGTAAATATTTTTGGTTTTTTTGGTTTACAGATCGGAAAGTAAAAGATTGCAAAATAGTAGATCGGAAACTAATATGATGGAAAAGAGAACTTATATGATCGAAAAGAGACCTAATGAAACTTGGCAAGCACTTATAACATTTTTCGTTCTTTGCCACCATATTTTTTTGAATTTTTTCGATTTTTTTAGAGTTTACTATTCATGGTGGTATCAAAAGAGCTAAAACTCGGATGTGCACTTTCCAACACTTTTTTCATGAATGCAAATGACACTCACATATAGGTGGTGTTTTTCTGAACATTTTGGTATCTTATTTGCATTTTTCTGATCTTTATGAATTAGTTATGAAGTTTTCAAATTGATGGTCAAAAGGTCAAAGGGCAAAAGCATAAGAGGGGCAAAGTGACTTGGATAGAACCGGTGACTTATGGAAATTAGGGGTAAAATAGACGAGTGGGACACAACTAGGGGCACAAATCTAATTATCCCTATTAGATACCGGTTCGGTTGCTAAGTGTTAGTAACTCGAAATAAAAGCTACGGAATAAATGGAGACTAGCTAAAGGTGAGCTGATGATATGTGTTGGAAGTGTTTCCAAGTTTGATGTAATCAAACATCGCACGCTCCCTCTACCATCAAGATTAGTATTAAACCTAAATAATTGTCATTTGGTGTTTGCGTTGAGCATAAACATGATTGGATTGTGTCTAATCGCAATATGGTTATTCATTTAAGGAGAATAATGGTTACTCTATTTTATTTGAATAATAACTTCAATGGTCTTGCACCTAAAGGAATGGTTTATTGAATCTCGATCGTAGTGATACACATTTTCATGCCAAAAGATATAAGATAGTAATGATAGTACCACTTACTTGTGGCAATGCCATGTAAGTCATATTGGTATAAAATACATGAAGAAGCTCCATGTTGATGGATCTTTGGACTCACTCATTTTTGAAAAGTTTGAGACATGCGAACCATGTCTATTGGTGTATACGCATGAAGAAACTCCATGCAGATGGATCGTTTGGACTCACTTGATTTTGAATCACTTGAGATATGCAAATCATACCACATGAGCAAGATGACTGAAAGGCCTCGTTTTCAGTAAGATGGAACAAGATAGCAACTTGTTGGAAGTAACACATTTTGATGTGTGCAGTCCAATGAGTGCTGAGGCATGCAGTGAATATCGTTATATTCTTACTTCACAGATGATTCGAGTAGATGTTGAGTATATTTACTTGATGAAACACAATTCTGAATTATTGAATGGTTCAAGTAATTTCAGAGTGAAGTTGAAGATCATCGTGACAAGAGGATAAAATGTCTATGATATGATCATAGAGATGAGTATCTGAGTTACGAACTTTGGCATGCAATTAAGACATTGTGGAAATTGTTTCACAATTAATACCACCTGGAACACCATAGTGTGATGGTGTGTCCGAACATCATAGTTGCACCCTATTGGATATGGTGCGTACCATGATATCTCTTATCGAATTACCACTACCGTTCATGGGTTAGGCATTAGAGACAAGCGCACTCACTTTAATAGGGCACCACGTAATTCCGTTGAGACGACACCGAACTATGGTTTGGAGAAACCTAAGTTGTTGTTTCTTAAAAGTTTGGGGCTGAGACGCTTATGTGAAAAAGTTTCAGGTTGATAAGCTCGAACCCAAAGCGGATAAAAATGCATCTTCATAGGACACCCAAAATAGTTGGGTATACTTCCTAATTCAGATCCGAAAGCAATAGGGATTTTTTCTTGAATCGGGTCCTTTCTCGAGGAAAGGTTTGTCTCAAGAATTGAGTGGGAGGATGGTGGAGACTTGATGAGGTTATTGAACCATCACTTCAACTAGTGTGTAGCAGGGCACAGGAAGTTGTTCCCGTGACGCCTACACCAATTGAAGTAGAAGCTTATGATAGTGATCATGAAGTTTTGGATCAAGTCACTACCGTACCTCGTAGGGTGACAAGGATGCGTACTACTTCAGAGTGGTACCCAATCCTGTCTTAGAGGTCATGTTGCTAGACAACAATGAACCTACGAGCTATGGAGAAGCGATGGTGGGCCCGGATTCCGACGAATGGCTCGAGGCCATAAAATCCGAGAAAGGATCCATGACTTTAGAAGAACTACTTGATGGTCGTAAGGCTATTGGGTACAGATGGATTTTAGAAGAAGACAGACAATGATGGTAAGTATCACCATTAAGAAAGCTCGACTTGTCATTAAGATGTTTTCCGACAAGTTCAAGGAGTTGACTACTATGAGACTTTCTCACTCGTAGCGATGCTAAGAATCTGTTGGGATTATATTAGAAATTACTGCATGATTTACGAAATCTTGCAGATAGGATGTCAAAACATTGTTTCCTCGACGTTATACTTGAGGAAAGGTTGTATGTGATACAACCAGAAGGTTTTGTCAATCCTGAAAGACGCTAATAAGTATGCAAAGCTCCAGCAATCCTTCTTAGGACTGGAGTAAGCATCTCGGAGTTGGAATGTACGCTTTGATGAGATGATCAAAGATTTTGGGTTTATACAAAGTTTGTGAGAAACTTGTATTTCCAAAGAAGTGAGTGGGAGCACTATAGAATTTCTGATGAGTATATGTTGTTGACATATTTATGAACAGAAATGATGTAGAATTTTCTGTAAAGCATATAGGGTTATTTGAAAAGTGTTTTTCAATGGAAAACCTAGATTAGGCTACTTGAAC